CCAGAATTAAGGATTATTTTGATGTTACATCATTGCCTTTTCTCTTTTACTTTCCTTTTTAGTTTTATTTTAGGATTCCCTATTTTTAATGTTCATACAGAGATTTCTTTAACTGAAATACCGAATAGTTTCTTTGGTGTGAAAAACTATAATAGTACACAGGATCCTAATGAGATAATTAATAATGTGAAATAGGAAGTAAAGGGCTAAAGGTGTAGGGAAAGTGGGAAGGGTGGGGGAAAGGTAATAAGGGAGAGGAAAAAGTATAAGAAACTGAAAAAATGGAAATAAAGTGTGTGTAAAAAGGGAGGGGAGAAGGGGGTGAAGGGAGGGCAGGGACAAGGGGAAAAAATGAGAATCAAGACCTATTATGTAAAGGCACAGAATCCCAATGATGAATGTAATTGTATTGTATATCTAGATTGTACCAATAAACTCAATAAAAACAAAAAATATTCATAAACACATAGAAATTAAATAATACTTTCCAGAACATCCAATGGGTTACAGATGAAATTAAAGAAGGGATTAGTTTCTACATTGATAATGCTGACACAACATAACAGAACTTAGGGACACAAAGAAAGAGGTCGTACAAAGGACATTTTTAGTGATGAATATTCACATCAGGAAAACAGAGCAAGCTTAAATAACAACTGAATGTTGAACCTCAAACTTATAGGAAAAGAAAAACAAGATGAGCTCATATATTGTATGAGTGAGAAAATTATAAAAATTGGAGCAGAAATTAATGTAATTGAGACTAAGAAAACAATATAAAGAATCAATGAATCTCAGAATTAGTTCTTTGAAAAATTAAATAAAATCGATATACCCTTATGCAGCTTTCTCAAACAAAGGAAAGACTCAAATGCATGCAATTAGGAATGAAAAGAGTGAAATCACAGAGTCCTGCAGAAATACAGTTCATCAACACCCATTTTGAGAAACACTATTCTAATAAGATTGAATACACAGAAGAAACAGACATTCCTAGATACATATGAATTAGTAAAGATGAATCAGAAAGATATAAGAATTCTAATTAATCCTATACCAGTCTATAAAATTAAAGATGTTACTAAAAACCTACCAACAAAGAAGAGCCCATGTCCTGATGGAATCACTGCTAAATTCTACAAGAAATTTAGAGAACATCTAATGCCTCTCCTCCTCAAACTTTTAATGAAATTGAAGAGTAAGCAATACTCCCAAAATTATTCCTAGAAGCAAATATTACCCTGATTAAAAAAATACCAGAAGGATCTATCCAAAAAATAAAGCTAGAGAAAAATCTCTAAAAGAACATAGATACAAAAATTTTCAATAGGATACTGGCAAAGAGAACGCATTAAAGCATCAAGAGATTGTACACTATAACCAAGTAGGATTCATCTCAGGGATGCAGAGATGATTTAACATGCTTAAATCAATAAGTGTAATACACCATGTTAATGGGGCCAAGAACAAAATTCACATGATCACCTCAATGGATGCAGAAAAAGCATTTGACAAATTCTAACACCTATTTATAATTAAACCCTACAAAAAATTGGAATAGGTGGTCTTTATTTCAATCTGATAAAAGTCATATATGCCAAACCAACAATCAACGTTCTAAATGGACAAAATCTGAAAGCTCTCACTCTAAAATCAGGACCAAGACAAGAATGCCCACTATCACCACTCCTATTCAATATAGTTCTGGTAATATTAGCCAGAGCAATTAGACAATTAGACATAGAATAGCAAAATCAATTCTGGGAAAGCAAGGGTATCACAATTCCTAACCTGAAATTATACTACAGAGTTACTTTGACAAAAAGCAAGATTGTATTCATTGAAAAACAGACCCAAAATTCAACAGAACTGTGTAGAAGATGCAGGAACAGCTCCAAACACACTCAGTCATATTATCTTTGACAAAGAGGCCAAACACCTTCACTGGAAGAATGACAGCCTCTTTAATAAATGGTATGCAAAAACATGGTTTTCCACATGTCAAAGACAAGAAATAGACTCAAGTGTCTCACCATGCACTAGAGTAAAATAGAAATGGATCAAAGTTATAAATATTAAGCCAGGCATGGTGGCACACGCCTGTAATCCCAGCACTCGGGAGGCTGAGGCAGGAAGATTGCTGTGAGTTCGAGACCAGCCTGAGCTACATAGTGAGTTCCAAGTCAGTCTCAACTACATAGTGAGACCCTGTCTCAAAAAACCCCCAAAAAAGAGTTATAAATATCAAAACAGAAACACTAACTCTGCTGTAAGAGATAATAGGTGGAACTCTTGAAGACATAGATTTTGGCAAAGATGATGACAGAAAACCCACTTGTACGGAAAATGTTAAAAAGGGACAAGAATTGGGATCTCATCTTATTAAAAATCTTGTCACTGCAGAAGAAATCACCAACAGAGTAAAAAGACAACCAACACTCGGAAAACATTTTTGCCACATGTTTCTCAGAAAAAAGACTGAATTCTAAAATACATAAAGATCTGAAAAACCCACCCCCAATATGTAAAGTCACAATGCAAAAATAGGCATCTGAGATGAATATATACTTTTCAGATGAAGTACAAGTGGCAAATAAGTATATGAAAAAATATTCAACATGAATCATCATTTCTGAGATGCAAAGTAAAATAACATGGTGAGTCCATCTCACTTCAGAAAGAAAGGCTATTATCAAGAAATCCACAAATAACAGATGCTAGTGTGGTTGTGGGGTAAAAGGAACTCTTCTCCACTGTTGGTGGGAGTATAGACTGGTACAACCACTGTGGAAATCCTGTGGTGATTCCTCAAAAAACTAGCTATCTCTCTTTTTCACTATCTTTTTGAAAGAATTAAAAGCATCAAACCACTGTGAAATACGCACACTCATGTTCATAGCAGCACAGATTGTGATAACTAAATCCTGGAAACAACCCAAATGCCCATCAATCAATAAATGGATAAAGATACTTTTTTTTAATGCCATGAAGTACTTTGTCCATAAGCAATGATAAACTTGAGACTTTTTATGTAAATGGATGCACCTAGATACCATTAAGTGAAGTAAATTGGACTTCAGTTTGTAAATATTGTGCTGCTTCTCTGGTGTAAAAAAATTGAAACCATAA